CCCCAAGCTCCACGCCACCGGGAATGAATCAAGCGTCGTCCCGACACCGCCGTCGCCGGCCCAGCACCTCCAGCCTTGCATGGACAGCTTCAATGTGCAGTCTCCCTTGCTGCCTCACCTTCTGCCAGCGCATGCAGCGGCGGGGTTGGACGCGTGCGTGCTTGCTAGCTTGCTCTCCGTGCGTACGTACTTGCTCTGCGTGCGTCGCACCGGCCAATGCGCATGATGCGTGTGTGCCTGCTTTTCTGTATGTGTATGCCAGCGTGATGCGTGTGTGCGTTGCTGTGTGTGTATGATATAGATGGCCCGAGTGTGTGCATGATGTGCTCTGCTCTCTGCTGATCTATGTGTTGGTGCTCCTGCTATATGTTCATGCCATACAAATGAAATTTCTGTTAATCTTCTGACATGTTGAGTTGGTTCTCTCTGTCTTCTGAGGGGGTGAATGCAAAGCAGTCTATTAATCAGGCACTATTGCTGAGCTAAATTGACAAAAAAATATTGGTAGCCATAGTTGTAGTTTAAGTAGTAGCGAGTTGTCTGATATGTATAAAGAGCCCGTTGCTAAATTGACAAAAAAGGTCGCCAGTATCACTTGATATGTATGAGAATATTAAATGTATTATTAACATGATTAATATTGAACTCTTAAAGTTAATGTGACTCCGTTGCAACGCACGAGCGTTCTTCTAGTCATCCTATTATTTATGGCTCTCGATCGATCCATTTATCCTCTCGTCGATTGTTTGTCACCCATGGGCTTCCTCCCTTCGGGCTCGTTATTTTCTTTATCGCTCCAAAGGCTGGGCCTTGTTTGTTTGTTTATTTTGGGAGCTGCCCCGTGTTGCGGGCCGCGTGCCTCGCAAGGAGCCCCGGCTGGGCCGGCCACACGATTCCACACCGGTCGACAATGCTTCGCTGGAAAACTCCAAAAAGGAAGAGCAGCCGCACAGATTCAACACAAAAACATCTTACTGTTAAATGCCTGTAGCTTTCCGTAAAGAAAATGTCGACAGCCTCCAGCTAGCCACAGTACCTGTTGGGCACTCCTATATTCTAATCACCGTAAAACTCTCTCAAGCGGCCGATCGAACAATTTCAGAACTTCACCAACATTTCTTCAATTTTTTGATTTTTAATCGAGAAAAACAGTTGTCGAGAACATCTTTTGCTATTGAGATTATTTTTTGGGAATATACGAACATTCTTTTCAAACTTCTGAACATTTTTTAAAAATGCGCACTCCTTTTAGAAAAAGTTGAACTTTTATAGAAAAGTACACACACCCCTAGTTGCGAGTCGATGGTCGGCTTGCAACTAGGGATCATTGACAGACTCACACACACACATACACACACACACACCTAGTTACGAGCTAATGGTTGGCTTGCAACTGGGGGCCACGACAAACACACACACACCCTTAGTTGCGAGTCCATGGTCGACATGCAACTAGTGACCCTCGACAAATACACAGACTTCTATTTGCGATTCAATGGTGGACATGCAACTGGGGAATCTTGACAAATACATGCACCCCTAGTTGCGAGTCGATGATCGGCTTGCAACTGAGAACTGTCGACAAACACACATGCGCACACACCCTTAGTTGCGAGTTGCTGATCGGCTTGCAACTGGGGGCCATGACAAAACACACACACCCCTAGTTGCAAGCCGATGGTTGACATGCAATCGGGGACCCTCGAAAAACAAAAACACACTCCCCCTAGTCGTGAGTCGATACTCGGCTTGCAACTGGGGACCCTCGACAAACACACACACACCCCCACACACGCACACACCATTAGTTGCGAGTCGATGGTCGGCATGCTACTGGCGACTCTCGACAAACACACGCGCTCCTAGTTGCG